GCTCCTCCCCCTTCCCCCCCTGCACCTCCTGCCCCCACAACTCCTCCCCCTTGCCCCAGGTCCCACCCCATTCACCCTTAAACCCCTCGCCCTTTCCCTGACTCTTCCCCCTCACTCCAGGCCCTGCCCCCTTTCCCCAGATGACTCCACCTCCCTCCAGGCCCCTCTCTCTTGCCTCAGCCACCACCACCAGGGCCCCTCCCCATCTCCCCCTAAGCCCCGCCTCCATCCCTCAGCCCTGCCCCCTTGCCCATCAGGTCCCGCCCCCTTGGCACTCACTGTGCAGGTGACGGACTTGGCGGTGCCCGAGGGCTGGAAGGCCACCTCAAAGCCATGGGCGCCGGGGTAGTCCTCAGTGGAAGGCACGATAGAGGATGTGGGCAGGGCACCCGGGGGCGGGGCCTCCCTTCCCAGCCCCGCCACTGGGGCCCCTTCCAGCTCCTCCAGCAGGGGCAAGTCACCCAAATCTGGCAGCCCTAGGACCAGGTCCTGTGGATCCTGGGAGATGGTGAAGGGTTGGGGGTCACCACCTATGCCCCCGGACGCCTGGGTTCTCTCTGGTTCCAGAGGGGGCGAGTCGGGGAGCCCAGTGCTTACCCACAGCTCTGCCTGCTCCTTGGGGATGGATCTCACATTGTTGTCCAGACTGGGAAGAGCAGAGACAGCAGTGAATGCTCAGAGTCGGAAGCGGGGGTGTGTCAGAGAAGGGGGTTCTGGGAGCCCAGACACCTGGGGGCCACTCACACATTCCAGAAGTCGAGGAAGGGCTGGCTCAGGGGGGGGTCCAGGTCGGGGTCCATGATCGACTCCATCTGGCGCTGGGAGCCCACATGACACCTGTTAGCCCTGCCCCCTCCACTGCCCCACCCATGCTACTCTGACCCCTCCCCTTCCCCTCCTACCGCTCAGCACCTCCACCCCTTAGCCCCACCCACTCCTCCTGTGGCTCACCCCCCTTTAGCCCTGCTCCATGCTCCCTTGGCCCTGCCCTCTTCCCTCAGCTGTCCCCTGCATTGGCCCACCCTTCCCATTAACTCCTCCCCCACTCCCCTGGCCATGCCCCATCCCTCACCTGTCCCCTTCTCCACCCTCCCCATGCTCCCTTGGCCACACCCCCTTCCCCATCATGCCTTCCCCTCCTGTGGCCCCACCCCCTCCTCCCCATTAGCCCTGTGCCTCCACCCCTGAACCCTGCCCCGTCTATCTCCTTGACCCCTCCCCAACCCCGCCCCTCGGGATATACCATTCCCTGAAAGGGGGGGGAACGGGTTGAACCCCCCCCGGAGTGCGGGGAGGGGGAAGAGGAGTGCATTCCCCCCCTCAATAGCCACAGCTGGCGTCAAACCCCTGTCAAATGCTCCACTCTACTCTCCCGTGTCCCCCCGTATTGGCTACATGGGTCCTTCCAGCACCCCTCAGGCCAGGCAGGGCTGGCCGTACCACTCCGGCAGGCGGGGGGGATGGGAGAAACCAAGCCAGCTTCCCGTCGTCGTCCCCCCCACCGGGTCAGGCGGGCTGTACCATTGTGGGCATCGCGGTGGGGGGAAAGAATCCAAACCCTTTAAAAGGCCTATGCCTTGAGGAAGGGCGGTGGAAAATAAGGGAGCGATCCCTCCTACAATGCCCCCACCTCACAAAAATCAGAGCTGTGGCCTCCCCCACCCCATCCTTAACTTCCCCCCCACACCGCTGAACCTGAATGGACTCACCCGGACTGAACCAAAACAACCCGCCACTGGAGAATGGGGGGATAAAGGAACCAACACAACCCAGAATTGGGGAGGAAGTCGCTGCAGCCCCTCTTCACCTGCAGTGCCTCCCCAACCCCTGGATCCCCCAGCAGAACCCCTCTAGAGCCCCGTGAATCCCTCCGACCCCCGCTCCTTGCGTCATAGCAGATCCCCAACAGATCCAAAATCGACGGGAGGGGGCGTGGATCCCAAAGCATCCCAAACTCTGCAGTGGATCCCCGAGATCCCAAAGGCGAGAGGCACCCACCCATCACCTCCCCCTGCTGGATCCCAGGCGCCTGGACCCACCACACCCCTCGCCCCAGTGGATCCCCGGCCTCCTTAAAGGATCCCCCTATACACGGACACACAATGGATCCCGGGAGCTCTGGCTCGCCCAGATTCCCCCCTCCCCTAGTAGACCCCTGTGCAGTGGCGAGTGGATCCGACTGGATCCCGCCCTCCGACTCACCGAGAAGCCAGCGCGGGGGGCGGCGGGACCGGGACCGGGAGCAGCAGCAGCAGTGGGAGTGGGAGCGCGAGCGCGAGCAGCAACATGCGCCGGGGCTTCCCCAATCCCAGCATGCCCCGCGCCTCCACGGCGGGGGGGAGGTGAGGGCGCCGTCGGCGCCCTCTTGAGTGAAGGCAAGTGCCAGGAGTTGCGGCCCCGCCCCCTTCCCCCCACACGCTCTGCATGAACCCTGCCAGGAGACCCTGGCGTCCGGGAGGGGCCGGCCTGAGCCCCAGTGTGTGTATGTATGTATGTATGTGTGCGCGTGATCTTGTACCTCAGTTTCCCCTCCTGGGTTTACCCCTGGAGCTAGGAAGAACCCAGGTGACCGCCCCCTCCCCCCCCAGCTCCAACCATTGGCCCCCACTACCCTCCCACAAAACCCGGGCTCCTGGGCCGCACCCCCCAGCGCCCTTCGCCCCAGGACATGAGGGCGTGTGCGGCCCCACCCCCGCACACACCTTTCCTCCATGGCTTCTGATTGGGCCCCCGCCAGGAGGGGGGAGGGCGCTAT